GTTAGTTAAAGAATTAGCTTTAGCGTCTCATATCATATGTACAGCTTACAAATGTTTAATAAAGCATACGTAACTAGTCTGACAGAGGGCAAAAAAAAAAAAAAAAACTTAAACTATTGATCATAGATAATTTTTTATTAATTTTTTAACAATATATAAAAAAGATATTTATAAGAAATTTGTGTTTTTTTATTAATAATAAAGTCCTATTATTTTCTTTAAAATAAATTAAAGAATATTTTTAAAAATTATTATATTTTTTTTTCTTGTTTATACTCAATTTTATTAATTAAAAGCAAATAAAAATATTTTTTTATTAATAATAAAAATTTTTAAATTAAAAAAAAAATCAATTAAAGAATATTAAAGATTTTTTTTTTAAAAAAATAATTAATATAAAATTTAATATTAATATATATTTATTTTTTATTTTTTATTTTTGATTGTTATTATTATTATTTTTTTTTTTTATAATTATTTAAATTTTTTAATTTAATTATAATAAATTTTTTTATTAGTATAAGCATAATTGTGAATTAAAAAAAGTAATAATAATAAATAAATAATTTAATTTAATTTTTATTAAATTATATAAAAATTCAAAATTTATCATATTGTAAAATTAATTGATTTATATATTATAAGTAAATATAAAATAATTATTTAAAATAAATTAAATATAATTTTTTTATTTAGTCAACCAGAATTTTTCACAATATAGTAGTGATATAAAAAATATAATAAGTAAATTTATATATCGATAGAAAATAAATTTATTAAATAGTTAATAAAAAGAAAAAAATTTAAAAAATATAATCAAGATTTATTTAAAAAAACTTTTTTTAAATTATTTTTATCATTATTTTTTTTTTTCAATATTCTTGATTTTACAATTTATTGTTTTTTGAAATAATTTATAAAAAATAAATTAATTATTATATAACTATTTTTTTTTTTTCAATATTCTTGATTTTACAATTTATTGTTTTTTGAAATAATTTATAAAAATAAATTAATTATTATATAACTATACTTGTAGTAATTATTCAAAAAAAAAATAAATAAATAAAAGTTCAAAAAGTTTTTTGACTTACTGTTCAATGAATGAGTTATTATTAATTACATCAAGTAACTAGCTGATCTGGTCCAACCGTAACAGCTCAAGTTTGAAACTAGTTCCAACTCGAACTACAAACTTTGGCGAATTTAGCTACCATATATGTAAAGTACGTATGTACAATGTGTTTTTAAATAAAGAAACATTCGATTTTTATATTTTTTTGATCAAGTGATACATTTCTTCTGACTCAATATCCGATTCCTAATATGTAATGGTCACGTGTTTGTTAATTCAATTTTCTTATTTAATTCATCAATTTGGTTAATCAGGTTAAGGTTGAATAACTTTTTTACCAATAAAAGTGGAGCAGCAAATAGTTACGAAAGAAAGACCTTAACTCTTGACCTTTAAACCCTTTTAACCTTAAAAAAAAAAGACATCGTTAAAGTTCCTTTCACTCGAGAATACTCCTGAAAAACTCAATAACCTCCCCAAAAAGAAAAAAAAAATGTATGTATTTAACTTTTGCCTTGGGATTGTCTTTTTGAATTATAGCTTTTGCATAGATTTGGCCACCATAATGTCAACACGGGGGAAATAATTAAACGACTGTCACTGTCATTGTATTTAGTTTTGGTACTTTATGTAGACATTGTATAAATATAACTTTTGCTGCTCTTGTTACTTAACTCTTATAAACTTGTAACGTCTATAATTTATCACTGATACGGCAGGACTACTACTACAAATGAAGGTCATTATGATCCCTATGTGCCTAAGTCTGGCGGGCAACCAGCAAAAACGGCACAAATTCAAAAACAAATTGATGACACCGTAGGTGTCATGCGAGAAAATATTAACCGTGTTGCAGAGAGAGGCGAAAGGTTGGATGCCCTGCAAGATAAGACTGGTTAGTATCAATTTTTTTTGGAGGGGATTTTTTTTTTCTTTCCCAACATATGTTTAATGTGTTGTTATTTTTCTAACTCCGCATCGACTCCCTCCACAAATAATCGTTTTTTAGAAAATTTATCTGTGTCAGCACAAGGCTTTCGTCGTGGTGCCAATAAAGTGCGGAAGCAAATGTGGTGGAAGGACATGAAGATGAGAATTATTCTTATTATCGTAGCACTCGTTTTATTGTTGGCTATTATTTGTAAGGAATCCTTCTTCCCTTTTGTTTTTTTCAGATTTCATAATTTATCAGCCTAATTTCATTAACTTTGTTGTCTTATTTCTCCCATTCTAGTACCGATCGTTCTCAGAAATAAGAACAATTAATCGAAAAAAAAAAAAAAAAAAAAAAAAAAAAAAAAATTCAGTGTAACATCATGCAAAGAACTTTTTTATTTGTCTTTCTGGTTACATCTCTCTCCGAACTCTTCATTACTTATCCTCATTTTCCCTTTTATATAATATAAATAACATCGAAAAAGTTGATTATCCTGTAACTAATAACATTCTTTTATAAGATGGCTTATCCTTTGATGTTCTGTCCCCTTCTTGGAAGAAAGGAATTTCAGTGCACCCTTGCTTTTCTTGCTATATTTAACCATTATTATCCTTCTATATGCACATTGGATTTACAAATAAATATCAATATTCAGAGTTCATTCATTTTTTTCGTCAGAAAGGGGCATCATATGCACCTATGTGATTACTGCGCATAAAAAAAGTAACGCACAATGGTGTTGTCTTTAGTGTGACCCGGCTCTTGGACGAGAAAGTCTCGCCATAAAAACGTGGGGTATTACTTTTTAAAAAATAATGTTAAAAAAAATTTGTTTCGGATTATTTTTATCACCAAAGAGGATTGTTAAATGTATTGCATGAACAAATATGAACGATAACGCATTGTATACTATAATTATGTGGCACGACTTTACCTAGGTTAATGCAAATTTACATTGATGCTTTTAAAATAACAAAAGAGATATTAACATAGAGTAAGTACACTTTGTATGGCAATTTACAAAAGAACAGTTTATCTTGTGTTAAAAAATTTTTTTAAAATTATAAAAAAAAATCAAAATAAAAAAAATTTAAATAAATTTTATAGATTAAATGATCATTTAAACTTTATAGTATATAACATTGATAAAATTAAGTAAAGCTTAAACTACGGGTTATAAAAAAAAAAGCCAATAATCATAATGATAAATGCAATGGTTTATAATGATAATAAATATAAATCTAATTTACATAGAATACTTTTTTTAAACAAAATAAATTTAATTTATGATTTTTTACTTGCATCATTTTGTATTCTTTTATAATTGATGTATATAATAACCTACAAAATTCATATGTATGCAGTATATATGTACAGTATATTAATAAAATCATTTTTTGATTTTTTGTTTCAAAGTTATGTATACAGTATATTAGTATCCAAAATAAACCGTTAATTGATTAATTAAATTTATTTATAAATATTATTATTTGCCTATAAATATTAATTTTTTTATTTTTACTGAACTTGAAGTAAAACTGATGACAGTTAAAGAAAGAACTTGGTTGAATGAAAAAGTCCACCGCGCTTTTCACCAATTGCACATCCGTTATTCAAATGTCAACTTTCTCATTGCAAATAGATGATCTTCTGTAAATTCTGAATCTGAAATATAACGGGCAACAGTATATTTATTTAAACTTTCTGTGCAAGAAAAACTCGAGTTGATACCGTCTTCCCAAAAATACATAATAAATAAACAGATTGTGCAATTTGGAAATCTATAATAATGAAATTGTTCTAATTCTCAAAAAGTGTTTCATATCAAATTACTTTACTTTGAAAACCTACCTTTCTACCTAAAAATAAGCGCTGAAATAAGTCCAAATCCACACATCCCTCCGCAAAACTCACAACGTCAATAATCATTCAAGACATGTGGCACATATTGGTACTCCTTTAACGACACGTTGTTCTCCAGCTTTGGCTGTATCTCGGAATTTTTGCCGTTGGCATTGACATCAAGAGATTTTATCTCGGCATTCGTGTTTCGATCTATCACAATACGCATAAATCCGTGGTAAACTTCAACACGGGCGTTATTAATTGAGACATTTGTTTGAGGCTGGAGAAGTGATATTTGTTCTTTTTTTTAAAAAAAAAAAAAAAAAAAAACAATTATTCGCGTCGCAAAAATCTGGATCATATCAAATACTTTGAGACCGATCCAACGTGAATCTCATACATTGATAACTAATAATATGAGAATTTACCGTCAATAGCTTTGACGATTATACACCCGGAGGAATCACCAACAAGAAATTCGGCAACTTTAATCTTAGACCAGGCTTTTTGGTCATTCGTCGAAAAATCATTACCATGACAAAAAAGAAAGAGTCCGAAAAAAAAAAATTAGTCGTCTTTCTTTATTAAAAGAGTAGACATTTGCAGTTGAAATTTTTTTTGCGAAAAAACTCACTAACTCGAATAATCCTCCACTTCACCAATCACGATTTGCGCTACGACTTTTACACGTAGATTAACTTGATGCTGGTCTGGTTTCAGTTCATCAACGCGCATATCTACTCAGTAAATCGTTAGATCGCTGTTTTCAAAGAGTCCATAAAAAGTTATCAAAGTAAACTGTGGCCTACATGTTATGAGAGATCTTGGTTTAGGAGACTTTTTGGAAATCATCTATAATTTCTTAGAGGAATGAAAACTTGAATTCTCAGAATACTTGGATAGTGTGATACGTAAAAAAAAAAAGGTGCCGATCAATAACCTGTACCCACCGCAAAGGTCGGAATGATTACCACATTCGTCGTTGTATTACAGACGTTTAATCATAACGGGTTTAGTGGATAAAAAAAAAAAAAATTTATATACTGTACGTATAGTTTTATTGTCACTTCATTTCAGATACAGTATGTCTCTGGTCAACGCCGCGAGGGCTCTTGCAATGTCGACCTTTAAAAGGTCTTCAAGCGCAAGAATTTTTCAAAGATCCTTTCACGCATCGACAACAATTTCATCTGATAAATTATTCACCGTAAGTCCTTATATCCGAGTCATTCCGTAAGGCAAACCTGTCAAAATCTCAATTTTTCTTTTAAAGCATCGCGATACTCCCGAAAACAATCCCTCCATTCCTTTCGAATTTACGGCTGAAAATTTAAAACGCGCCCATGAGATCATAAAGCGGTATCCACCACAGTATAAAAAAGCTGCCACGATACCATTATTGGATCTCGGTCAACGTCAACTCGGATGGACGAGTATATCTGTCATGAATGCTGTTGCAAAGTTACTGGAAATACCACCCATGCGCGTGTACGAAGTCGCGACCTTTTATACTATGTATAATAGGTAAAATCGCTCCCCTAGCATTCCTTAGTATTCTTTGAGGGATAATTTAGGAACCGATTCTTCCTTGCCACTGTAGAGAACCGGTCGGGAAATATTTCCTCCAGCTTTGCACAACCACACCTTGTCAATTATGTGGTTCAACAGAGATTTTGGAGACCATTCAAAATCACCTAAAAATAAAAGTTGGAGAGACCACTCCTGATAAACTCTTCACGCTTGTAGAAGTAGAATGCGCAGGTGCCTGTGTTAATGCCCCGGTTTTAGCCGTTAATGACGACTATTACGTAAGTCCAAGTGTATAATACTGTTTTGATGTTATGTTAGGCTTCAACCTTTGTGAATTGGGATATTATTCCTTAATTTTAGGAAGATTTAACTCCAGAGACTACGATAAAGGTGCTCGATTCTCTTAAATCTGGCAAGCCTTTAAAACACGGTCCACAAAGCGGCCGTCACACGTGTGAACCGAAGACCGGTCTCACGACGTTAACAGGCGAACCAACTGGTCCAGGTTTTGGGGTCAGAAGCGATTTGTGAGACACTTTCTCTCGGGTGTAAATATATGACGACCAATACTCAAAGCAATTATCAAGGTTGTTTCTAATAAAACAAGATGTAGATCCTACATGTTATAAATTAAAAGTATTGAGATTTGGCTTTTGGTTTTATAGTTTAACAGTCGAACGAACATATATGCTACGCACGGATTGACAATGATTTGATGGTGTTAAATGAATGGTGACAATTTTCTTTGTATATTCAACACCAAAGGTATTTCCAATATAAACCAAAAAGTAATTTGTATATAATCAATAAATTCATCAAATTGTTTAATTCACTATTAGAAAGGGTGATTTATTAACAAGGAAAGTATAGCCATGTAATGTAATTCATGTGTGGATGTATCTATTTATGGCCAAATTTATTCAATAATACGATTAATATTCTATGCTATATTTTTAATATACAAAAATTAATTATAAAATTAATTTAAAAATTTTAACTTCTTTTGAAGATTGTCTTAACTGAAAAAAATCATTATCTTGTTTAAAAAATTAAACTATATAAAAATATTTTTTATTTTATTATTAATTGATTCTTTTTACAATATATTTATTGATTATCATTATCATTATTTATTTTTAATTGCGATTACATATATTATTATAGTATATCTTTATTGAAACATTAAATAAATAATATTAATTTAAGCTATTTAACTTATTATTGTATATTATTATTTAAAAAACTATACTATTTTAAAAATACAAAAATTTGAATTGAACAAAACAATATTTTAACTAGATACATTAAATCAAATTTAAAAAACAATATATTTTTTTTTAATATAATAATATTTAATATTAGTAATTAGTGATCACAATTTTGATTTGAATCTGATTGATTCATAAATTGAATATAAATCAAATCAAATCAAATTTTAAAATTTTTAATCTGATTAGATTCAGATCAAATCAAATTTTAAATTAATAAAATCATCAAATTCAAATCTGATCAAATTTAAATTCAATTTGAATCAATTTATATAAATTATTATTTAATTTCATTTAAATTAAATTATCTAAAAAATTAA